TGAGCAGTATGCATGTGTGTTGATGTGATGTGTGTGTGAGTGGTGTGTGACGTGTGTGGGTGGGAGACAGGATGGAGGAGGCCGGTGCAGCATGGACTGGGTGCAGGCTCCAGCTCAGGACTCAGCTCCGCATAGGGAGGGCCGAGCGGGGTCTGCACTCCCTCCTGAGATCTGGGTGGGCCTGCCAGCTGGTGTAGAGACACGACTCTGGGTAGACGGACCGCTGGAGGTTGGCACAGGTGGAGCACCTCATCTCAGGCTGCCGGGGTTTTGCAGCTCCTCCTTCTGTCTCTGGCCACAGCTTCACGCGGGAATGTGTTATGAGTGGAGTGCTGAGGTGTTCAGAGGGCCTTCTTGCCCCCGCTGCCCGTGTGACCTCTCTTGCAATCCTGTGAATTAGAACCAGAAAAGCAACATTATAGAAGTGACTCAAGTCCTTACCATAGCGAAATGATTCTAAGTGGTGTTAGCATCTGTGTGTATTTTTATTGAACACTTACACGTGCTTACGCTGTGCCAGGCATCATTCTAAGTGCTTTACAACTACTAGCTTCTTTAATCCTCATAACTCCAGGAGGTGCGTTGCTCTGCCCATTTTGCAGATAGAAAACCAAGGCACAGAGAGGCTAAGTAATATGCTCAAGGGTTATATAAAAATCACACATACATACACTTATAATGTCTGCTTGGAAAGACATTCTCTTCTAGGGGAAAGTAACAGAGGAGAAGGAACATTTCTTCTGCTAGACATCATAAATAATTGGCTTTCCTTAATACTCACAATAACCATGTGATGTAAGTATTTTCCTGAACTTACAGAGGAGGAGTCTGAAGCTTAGTGAGGTTCAATAGCTTGCCCACAGACCCCATGGCTAGATGGAGTGACCCCAAAGCATGAACATGTCCTACATGCCATACAATTTTCATCTGGGCCTGTGATGGAGAATCGTGGCCTTAGCACGTCTCTTGCTGCCCCAGGGAAGAATAGTGGCCTTAGCACGTCTCTTGATGCCCCAGGGAAGGTGCCTCTGCCTGGGCACCACAAGGGACGGGGACCCCACAGTGGGTGGCCAAACACATAAGAGCCTGCTCTGCCCTTCACTAGCTGTGTTACAGGGATCAAGGCTGACCGGTCCCTGCCGAGTTTCCTAATCTGTAAAATGGGATGAATTTCCATTTACCTCATAGGGTGGATGTAAAACTTGTGCAAAGAAGATGGCAGAGTGCCAGGAACACAGTTGGTGGCCAACATAAATCTTAGTTTAGGTAAAATTTTTTCATTGTTCTTTAAGCCAATCCGTCCCATTATTGGACACTTACTATTTAAAAAGGGCTTCCCCTTCCTCTGTCTCTGTCTCATTCATTCATTGCTTCTAGTTCTCACCAGTTATGTATACTTTCTCCTGTGTCTTCCACATGAAACCCTTTAAAAAGTATTATTCTATTTGTGTCACTCAATTGACATATCATTAAATTAACATTAAATTAACACATGCTTTGGGAAAAAAAACTAGAATATTCCAAAAAACAAGAAGAGCTTTTAGGAGAAAATAAAACCCACCTGTAATTCTCACAACACAAATAGCCAAGTTTTACATATTGGTGTATTTCTATCTG